CACGAATATATATATATATATATATATATATGTATATATATATATATATATACTATGTTGATAGTGGTTACACCTGAGCCATTTTAGAATTCAGATAGCTGCTAGGCGTGTACATGGAAGCTAGCTTGGATCAGCGGTCAAACTACGTTTTAGCGACGTTCTGACCGAATAATCTAATCCACCCGCGCCACATTCGTTCACGCTTTTCTGGGGTGCGCTTCGCCATAGGCCACCAAATTCTTGTGTCTGTATTGCTTCCTAATACAAAAGTTCTCACCCGCCATCCATTGTAGCGCGTCGTTCCTGCTGTAAAACCGTCTGACTTGTTGATCGACCAGAGTAATGACACAAAATTCGGAATATCTTTGGCAAAATAGCCGCACACCCACCATAAGCCGGGATTAATTTGACAAGTGCTGGGACATTTGACAACGGAACTTTATGTCTACCACCTATGGGTGAATTCAGCTTGTTAATACTCCAACGTCTCCCGTTAATCTGCATGGAATTCCACTTTCATCCTGAGTGACTAACCTTTGAAATTCTTGTTTTCAGCGTGACCGAAATTCGCCTCAGTTACTCCGGCTTATCCATGATGGTTCATAGTTTCAGGAGACTAGGTGATTTTAATGCAGATTTCTTTCTGCAATTGAAGCTGGTCTATGTTGAAAAGCTGAGGAACACTACAGCTGCTTCATCCTTATGTGGGATCATCAGCAGTGCGTAGAATGGCACCATATTCTGCGAGTTATTCCCACGATTGATCAACCGAGAGTTTGCAAGTCTGAAACCCCCAGAAGTTTCATGAAATGTGTACTACTAGTAATTTCCATTAGGGGTGAAACAGCTGTACGGTGTTCTTTGGCTTTTCAGCAGAGATTGGCCTACATTACATGATGAGATTTGACTTGTTTCACTATCTGGGTGGGGCTTCTCGGGATAGAGATCCCATCGGGAATTACAAAAATTATGCAAACAAGTATGAATTTCTGGGTAATAATAAGGTGCAGTCGGCCATCTCTTCTTTTGTCCCAACTAATGTTTTAGTAGGACAACTTTCATGAGATCCCACAATTTCTTTCCACCCTGTCAGTCAATTTTTGGCATAAAAGTGTACCTATGAGTAGAACCAGTCTTTGAAAGGACCAGTTTGATCTTTTTTTGACCGCTTTGTCCTAAGGTAAAGGACTTTTGTACGTGTTCTGTTTCATCTCAGTTGGAGTTGAGGCTTTTCTAGATGGAGTTCTGGTACAGATTGAGAAGCTTACGTACACATGCCTGAGATGCACAGAGTGGATGCTGTTTACTTGAGTTTGGGATAGAAAGCACGGGGACAATGTCCCGATATCTCTAAGGACATGTCCTCCAGAAATGAAACCTTTCTGAAGGGTGGCCTCTGTTTGGTGAGATTACTGTGGTACAGCCTTATTGAGTTGGTGAGTTGGTCCAGTTTAGCCGAATATTGAATAAATGCAGGTTTGTACAGTGAGTCCAACTTTTTTGGTGCTTAATTTTACTGAATTCTTTAGTATACCAATCAAATATTATCTTTAAGTCTGCCTGTCTGATCATCTCATAACGCGTCACCACACCCCATCAGCCAAAACCGGCTGATCTGGTTTTACATGGGCTGAGTCTTACCTCTGGTTTGCATTATGGATAGGTATTATTTTCTTCCACACGTCCCATTGCCCTACCTAATTTACATCCACGAGCTGGGACCACGTTTTATCCCAACTAGGTTAAACACCCTACTTTTCATACCGGTATGCATCTCTGCAGTTCCCCGTATAATACACCGAATCCGATTGCGATTGGGATAGGTTTTGTCCAACAGTTTACCTCAATCACAACATTCAGACATATAAAAACGGTTATCTTTTCTCATTTTCTGTCACCATTTTAGCCAACATCAGGATCTTCAGAATGACAATCGCTCCGTGCTTCATTCGAAACTGTCTGCGGAACATTCACCCAAAGATAATCAGGTAAGGGGTTCAATCGTGAACGCCCTATTTATTTAGGGGCGTGTCAATGAATTGTGGATCTGAACTCACTAGAAACACTTAATGTGGCGCCCCAATTAATGGGTGACAGTATTTCACCCATCATATTGTTTATTGAAAGACTGACTTGGGTGGGGGTGGACGTTCCGCATTTCCGATCGACTCAACGGAACAGCAGCTCATCCATCTAGTTAAATTCAGTCCATGAATCGAGACACATCCGCGCCTTAATTCATCTGGCACCGGGTTTCTTCCCTTACTCTTGTGTACTTAACTTTATTCTATGATGATCCTTTGCTACGTTTGTCTCAACCTTACGCTATCATTCTCCGTTTTGTAGCTGACTGCTGACAAGTCAGTTTCCTCTCAAGATCACCCCTCTCTCGACTCCGAGCCGGTTGGCTTAATCATACAAGAAAGTCAATGTCATTCAGAATCTCAGGTGGTGGAACTGACACAACCGATGATAGGTGCCTCATTACTGGTTGTCAGTGAACACTCTCCGGCACCTTCTTTTCAAGATAATCTGTCCGGGGTTCAGCTGATAGGAAACCGACCATCTATCCTTTCGACAACGCCGGTAAGACCGCCCACACAACGCACGAGCGTAAAAGCTTACATGCCCTGCTACTTGTTGTACCTTTAGACAAGTCGTCGGTATGACTGCTACTGTCTTGTAGAGACACATGTCTGCGTTTCGCAAGATACAAGGCACAGTCAGTTTTTCTTCCGATACTTACATATGTGGTGAGAACTGTGTCGCAGGCAATTTAAGCACTAAATGGTTTTTGGCAGTTGATCTTTGAGTTGACAGAATCCTGATGAATATCTCGCGTGCGTCGTCTTATTTTCCAGGTGAAGGTTTAGACAATGGAAAGCGTGATACAAGCAGAATATGACATTGCGATGAAAGGTCAATGGTCTACCTAACTAATCTACTTATGTAGACTGAGGACTCGCAGATATAGAAACCAATAGCCCTCATCGACATAAAGGAATCACTGCATTGTTGTATTCGTATTTTATAGGTCGTGAGGGTTGGGACTTCTCTCGAAAGCGAAATCAGTCCATACCGAAGAGGCATCATGCATCGTACAGCTGTTTTGTACATTTTGATACTAGTAGTGCGGATCTCATGAACCTCTCAGGAGATTTGAACCAATCATATCCCTGTGTTTGTCTTGTTCCGTACGATCTAAGGCTAGCTATTGGGTTGCGGTCACCTATCTCATGTAGCTCATGCACGTCGCACAAATCCTGAACATCTCTCGACTTACAGAAGAGAGATGACCACCTTTTGGCCTAACAAAGGGTGTAATAGAAAAATCTTCCAGCTGTAGCACCCTTTCGGTGTCTAGCTGCAATGCCACACGAAGAAGGCACAAGGACTGGGATACTGCCAGGTCACCCAAGCCTAGACAGCGGAAGTCGAGTAGCAGAGGTCGGGTTCGAACCACGGACCTTCCGGTCAGTAAGTTCGCGCTCTAAGGTTAAAGTCTGAGTAAAACTCGTTAGTGGCAGTTTTAGGCCTATGGTCGGTGTTTCAGTTCCCCACTCCATTTTAATACGACTATTTCCTTTTAGGGAAAATTCTCGCATGAGCGAACGATTTCCTCACATCCCAGTCTGTATACTAAATGGTTCTAAGTTCCCGATTGCTCCAGGAAGGCTTGAAATTCAACTTTTGCGCTCGATATCATCACCGGTAAACACTCTAGTCTCATAACTCGATCAGTTTTAGGCGGGAATCCTGAAAACTCATAAACCGTTCAGTCGTTTTCATATTCTTAACAGATTTCGACTCGTGTGGATATCTGTTGAAGCTGCTGTCCATCCTTCCAGGACTGGCCGGCTAAAATTTGTATGTCGTGCGCTGACTTGGTGTTGGGTATAATCTACAAGGGATGTTGGGCCAGTCTCTCTGATACCATATTTTTCTTGTCTGGTGAAGAACTGTGTTCATTGTTTTCCCGCCCGTAGATGATCCCTCTCCTTTTGGACATAAGGTTTTAGCATTCACTCTGCCCGTAGATCTCTCCTTTTGGACATAAGGTTTTAGCATTCACTCCTCTTATTTTTCTTCTTTCCACTTTACCAGGTGCTTTTTATCTTTGCTTTTTAAGTTCTTTTGCAGTAAAGTCTGGGTGAACGATTGTGTGTTCTATTTCTGGCCATAGCTTTGGATAACGGGTATTAGATAAGTAACCGAACATCATTGTGTGGGACGAATTTCCAGTGCTAGCTTTTGGTAGATCATCTCATTTAGTCTGTGGTTTGCATTAGTTGACAACCGTGCACTTTTTTTGAAGTCACCTCGTGGCACGCTTCTGGTTTGTCATTCTGTATAACTGTTTTTCTTCCAGAATGCCGATGTACCTGATGATTCTGAGGACCTAACGCAACCAATGATCCAAATGAGTACGGCTAGAAAACGGAGGTTTATGAGGTTGGACACTGTCGTCGATTTGGATGTGTCCGCAGTGGAGGAACCCCAAATGAATGGTTCCAAATCACCAGTGAAGCAAACGTCCATTGTTGGTAGTAGTCCGGTAAGTGAATTTTCAATGCCATTCTGTGGATGTTTTACTTGTAGCTATTCTTACACAAAAATTACACGGTCAAATTTCTTCGGCGAAAATATAGTAAAATTGGCAGTGATCGACATTACGCTCAGAGCTTGGTAACAGCACGGTTATACATCCTCGTGCTAATTGCATATAGTGAACCAATTGACTTTTTTCCATAAATACGTAAGATATATCAAGCGGGTGAACCCACCAGTAAGCTAATAGCAAGTAGATTTCTACTTGGACTAGGCGATGTGGAGGTGAATTGCTAAACAATGGACATTCTCGTCAGCAAGTTGGCTGAAGGAACCATTCGCCAAAACAAGATGTTACCTACTTAGGAAGTACTATTTGCGTGTACACAAGTGAATTAAATTGACTGGACTGTCAGCTGGTCCTGGTGGTTCGAAAGGCCCTCGTTGTGAGGGGATTTGGACTCATCTCCATCCCGTATTCTTCCCCATTGTGTACATGGTTAAAACTCAGGAGTTTTAACGCTACCGACTTGTAATGCACTTTATTCCTTCCCTCAGCATAAATCGGTTGTTCATTATCCCCGGCTTGGAAGTAAACCGACTGATAATGATCCTGGGCCTTCCACGGGCTGCGCACTCATGGCTGAGCATGAAGATGATGGGCTGGATGAACTAACGCAACCGATGCTTCACATTAAACCCGTGGTCCTAGATGAACTGTCGGGAACAAGTCCACCAGAGGGTCGTTGGTCTTCCCAGCTCACTTCTGAGGTTCGCCCCACACCACAAACCACTGGAAAATTGGTAGGATTGTTTATTTAGCGAAATGCACTCATTTGCGTACCAGTTTGGTTTTGACGGGAGACTCACCTGAGACCCAGCTGAATCTCTTTTTCGTGTTTTTGAAGTTTTTTTATTATTTTTTCAGTGTCCAGTTGTCTTTTAAACCCATTTCGAACTTCTTGGAGCCACCTTCATTTTTTAGTATTTTGAGCGCAGGGCAATGAACATTTTCTTTTGCTTACTATTTATACTACGCAATCTTCGCTTATTATAGATTGTTTTTGGATACATAATCATTTTGTATTTGAGGTATATCTGCAAGCGGGCTAAATCGTGCTGCTATGGGCTTAGATAAGTACTACTTAAAAAGGAATAGAAGGGATTCGGTGGAAAAACGTCTGATAAAAAGGGTTACATTGACGACATCTGAAGTCAGACTCTGTTTGACCAGGGTGACTAGATTTTTCGACACATCTGTCATTGGCTGCGGTACGCCGATGTATCGGAAAGCATCTCCATCTTTCAAAGGGGTCCATCACCCCTAGAAAGGCAGACTGTGGTAATAAAAATAAAGTAAGCGAAGTATGACTCTCTAAGAAGCTGGCACTCAAACGTTTGGAGCGCTTTGCGAAGAATTTTGCTTGGATATTCTCTTGGTATCGTAAAAAAATTCAGAATAGCGTACAGTGATGTTTTCAGAACTTCGTCATCAACTCAGTTCGTAGCTCGCAGCTAAAACAGTAGCAACTAATAACGTTGAATGCGTGAATGAATTAAAAACGGAGACGAGTGCGAACAATTGGGTGGTAAGTGGAATTAAGCTCCTATGTATGGTGAATAGATGACGGGATCTTTCCAAAGTGAGTCAACGTCTGAGTCGATCGAAACATGTTACATGAACAACCCATACTTGGATCATGTGAACCGTTTCTGGCAGCATAGTAACGCGGCTCGCAACCATAATTCAACTACTTTGACTGTGTCCAAGCTCTATGAGGCAAAACAAATGAGGCGAAACAAATCGGCTGAACTGATGAATGTCATCAGCGTGTGAACTGATTGGACTGCTGAGTCTGTGGTCACAATATATTTAAGGTAGTTTTTGCTAAGTTCCGAAATGTCTTAGGACTCAGTTAACTGCAGTCGTATTTCGCGAACTTTCCAGACGAGTCTATAAAGAATTTCGTGCTTTTCTTCACAGCTAATAAATACTAACCAGGGAATACAATGTACAATGATATATTTTTTAGAATATCCCTGTCCATCGGTTGAATACGACACCTCCAAATGCTCACGATGCGGTGGCAACTAACAACCGACTGGCTAAGACTACTGTCAAACGAAATCAAGTGCGACAACCACGAAACTCTGTTGCCGGACGAGTATCCTCCTTGTTCCTGACTAAATCGATCGGTGTTGTGCAGTTTCGTTCTCGACGTGGTAACGACTCCAGCATTGACAAAGATTCAGAGGATTCCTTACTGGAAGGCAGGGACATATATGCCCTACCTGGACCCTCTTTTGGCCTTGTGAGGCGTGCTAGTCAAGCTTTCCCTGTCACAGCAGCTGCTGCGGATTCCAGCATCCTCACACACTTGGCTTCTGGAAACAAGCGTTCGGTGAATCGATCTTCGAAATTCAATCACTCGAAAAAGGCACGCGTCCTACAAATCCCGAGTCCTGTGCATCTGCCCGATAGCATTCTTAGCGAAGATCCTTCGCAACCTGAGATTTCTATGGAGGCCTCCCATGAGGTTAACAGGAGTAACGCAAAACTCCCTCTGTCAAGTGCTCCTCTTGTAGGATCAGCCACCACTGTGTCTCCAACCTTGGTTTCGACAGCTGGAAAAAGCACTGAGCGTCCTTTTACACCTATGCAAGCAGCAGTAACATCGGCCGGATTCGATTACTCCCCTCAAGATACGGAGATCAAAATGTCACCCAAAGTATGTTGTCTGATCTAGGTTTGTTTAAGTTCGTTCCCCCGAAGTGCTTTCTAGATCGCACCAACTGCAACTACTACAGTGCCAACACAATGCACATGTCTCCTTATACCGTGTCTATAGCTTTATGCATGATTATTGTTCTTTGGTACTTTCTCCATATGTTTGGTCAAACCGTGCACTGTCTTGTTTGAGATCCAATTTGTGCTAGGAAATCTACCAGATGAGGCAGTATTGCTATCCTACACAGTTTTTTTTAATAAATTTAATGCTTACTATGTCCCCATGGGCTAATTTCACTCCGCTTCTGAATTCAACACGTCTCGATTGGTCTTCAGTTTACTCAATCTAGTCGAGCATACATCGACCAGATGTGATATTTTGCATGGTTGTCCATGACCTCAATATGTTCAACCTGTCCTTCAGGGTGAGACCACAAAATACAACAACTGCTTTACGTATGAGCGTTGGAAAAGGAACTTGACTAACCACAGCCATAGTCATTGAGACCTTCAAATGAGCTTCGTATTTGTCGAATCAGATTATTAAGTAAGCTGAATTTCCAGTGCATCATCGCCATTCAGTTTACCGAATTATCTTTCCCCTGGATGGTTATACCAAGGTGCTGGCTATATGCTTTTATGAACCCAGGATGCACATTCAAACTTGGGCTGCAGCGAAATATCCCTTTTGCTATCCTATCTTAGCATTGTTCCCCCACTAATTTGAACGTTAAACACTCGTTTGAACATCAGTTTTGGGCAAATTCACCTGGGTCAAACACATGCGGGTACAGGTGTCTATGAACTGCTTAGGGTCTATGTATAATAATATGACATTTCCGCACAAGTTGTCGGGCGCCTCAGACTTTTCTGGAGAACAATATTTCCTTTTGCATACAACCTTATACCTGTGCACGTCAATCGCGGGGCTAGGTTGGTCGTCTTCCCCGGAGTACGATCAAACCCTTACTATAGTGTACAGTGGGTAAGAATCCGGTATGTTTTTGACTAGCGTTTATTCAGTGAAATGAGTTTTAAATACCGACGTAGTCTGTTGGCTAATATACTGTCCGCCAAAAATAAAATTCACGTCTGAGCATGTTTTTGCCTCTGTTGGTTTTTCTTTTTGAGGCCTTTCCGAGCCCTCATAGCCATTACAGTGAACCTCATTACGACAACTGGTTAAGACGGTAATGGCCTACTTTCACGGGAACTTTATCCCAGAAGGAATACACTTAAATCTTGCTACTCGCCTTCCCTCACACCATAGTCGGAAGATTGGATGCTGAAAATGTCATTTATTAAGAGTGATGTCCCTTACCCTTATGAGGTATCAAAGATAGGTTGACGTACGATCCGATCTAGCCACAACGTCCTCTGCACCACCGGCGGTGCGCTTCCGAAGGTGGGAAGTGGGGGATGGAGCAGTCAGTTTAATTACAGCATTTGCGTCCTGTTCTAACATTTATCTAGCATTTATCAGCTCAAACAGGATCCCATGTATGAAAAAACGCATTTTTTGTTTTGCCCATAACTCACTGGGAATCGGAGGAATTCAAGCGGGCCTGGTTTCGGCATTTGTGAATTGATTTCGAAGTTGCTGAGGTCGCTACTACAAACGGGCCCACAGATGGTATTATACACATCGTATAAAATTGTCAGTCCTGATACTGGCATCTCCAGAGAGAAGTGACAGTGGAGTGGGTACGGCAAATGGAAAGGAGTAAGCCTTGTGAGAAAAAAGATGTCAGCAGTTCCCTGTCCTCACTTGCCTGGTGTATGCAGCGAGTATAACCACTCGTGTATGGAAGTGCGCGACACCCGGTGGGGTTGAGATACTGTTAGGGCACTCAAGTCTACGTACAAAGACGATTTGGGTCTTAACCTAAGTGCCTTGGGTCGACAAACTGACCACAACACAGCATGTGGGTGACGTCATACTACCTAGACGGTACAAATACATGCCCCAACATCCAAATTGCGGTACCAAAACCGTATTCGTACAGCCTGTATCCATTGATCAGCCTTGTACAGAAGTCTGTGAGTGTCAGCGTGAAAACTGTCAGGACCACAGTACTGCACAATCCGTCGGACCCTCATCAAATCCAAGTTCATTTGTAGAAGAATGAAAAGTGTAGGCGGAAAATAGTTCAGAGGAAGTTTTCTGCACCCTTGAACAACAGTTAGGCTCATGAAAACGTCCCCATAAGGAACACTTCTAAGACACTCTGTGAACTTGTTATTTCAAGAACCTTAATGGATCTCAGACCAGTAAATGACACCTGTGGCTCGTCGGATTCATTCACTCAATTAAATATGTATATTCAGTTACGTGATCATGATTTGCAACCACTTTTACCGCCTTTAGGAACGAGGTAGGTTATCGGGTTCCAATTTTAATTATAACAGTGCAGCTGGTGATTTGGAGCAAAGTTGATTTAGTTGTTCTTGGCGTAAAAGTCGGGAGTCACCTTGAAAGGGTCGCAGTAAATATTTGTCACTAGCGTCCTAAAATGGCTACCATGACGAACTGCTAAACTTCAGCAACAGCCACGGACCCTCTGAATTTTGAACCATAACGTTTGCTTTACTTATCAGACCACTAAGTAACTAAATCAATATGCTGCAAAAGATTTGCTAAAGGGCTATTTCCAACCCCAAAATTGCCCTACAAACTTTGTGAACTTTGATTAGGATTCTTGTACCCAGTGAATTACATTGTCCAATAGTTTTGCAAAACACTGACCTTATCCATCAATGGGGTTATTGAAGCTACGGAAGATCAAATGAGGAGTTGTGATAAACACTTTTTTTGCAACTTAATTCCTTAATTCAATTGAATCTACTGTTTATGGTGGTCTTCAACTGGATGTGGTTTACAAAGATCATCTTGTATTTCATCTGGAGCGATATTCAATATGTCTAAATGTGTTTACATGCTACTCATAGACCAATAGAATATATTGATAGTTCACTGCCGTTTTCGACCTTGATGGTTCCCAAATCTTCATCAACCTTATTTCCTGATTGATTACCAAATTGTACGAATATTGTCGTTTGCAACTTAGTTGACGAACAGCGTCATAAACCAGAGATTCATTTGAATTTATGCTAAGCCTCCCGCCAACACTAGCCTTTGTAATTGACTGTCGGTCACAGAATATGCGCAATTTGATGTTTACACAAGAATTAGGGGTTGTGAAGGCTTAGGAATCAGGCGTACCTGATGATTACATAGAATGGTAAAATCACACTGTTTTATGTAGCACTCAGTAGTCTTGTTGATTTCTTTGTAGAGAATTGTACTGAAAAATGCGGCTGTTTTCATTGTCACCGTTTTTGTTCTTCGTTCCTCATTTCCAGCTGTTGGACATTTCGAATCACTGCTTTAAAATTAACTCCACTCCGGTACCGGTTGTGGACCTGTCGTCATTTTCGGATCTCTTGGATTCCCATCTGGGTAGGCAGAAAGGCAGGAGCTCCGCTACATTCAAAAGCAGCATACCCGTATCACCCTCTCCAGTGTGCAAGCGTCGCGGTACGCGTTCTCGTAAAAGAATTGATTCCTCACCGGTCACTACCATGACACCCGAACATTCTGGAGGGGGTGGTCCAGATCGGAAGAAACGTAAAAGGCGTTCACCACCCGTTTCACCTGTTCACCGTTCTCGCCGAATAACCATGGATATTAAGCCTCCGGTTGAGAGGACTGATGCATCATCAAAGTCGCCCGCTTCCAAGCCAATTCGTCGCACAGCCCGACTAAGCTCCATTGTCAAAACAGTTCAACCCACCGTGAGCACACAAACAAGACGACTCACCTCACTAGGGCAGAAGGTTGACACTGGGAGCAAACTGGACGATGCCAGCTTTGTATTGCTCGAACGCTGTACCCCAAAGGCTGAGTTACAGGTTCATTACTTTATGTTGAACTTAAATTACCCGTTCAGTATACAGCCTAACCTCTAGATAAGGGATGTTTCGCAATTAAAACCATTTCTGACTTTCCATGAACTTATTGCCTAAACCTTCCTAGTTTACGGACAGGCGACACTAGACACTGTCCCATAGTCCGGATATCTTCTTTCAACGGGAAAGTGTGCTATCTGGTAGCAAGGATCCGTTATTCCATCTGTTTCTTGAGCCTACTTGTGAATGAATTCGCGTTATGAATGCGCTGATATACCTTAATATTTCGACAACCTGTTGGGATGGTCCGTCAGGTGAACATCAGTCACACCACTTTCTCACAGTTCGATCACGGAAGACAGGCTTTACCTGCAGACCATCTTCCAAGACGGTCGTTCGCGCCTTTCCTAAGGTTGAACCCTGAACTATTGACCCCTCAATATAATTACAATGCCTGGCCTCGGATGCCAGCTCTGGATGGCAGCTGTAGTCGAAGTCAGCCGATATGTTGTCCACACCGGGTAGGTTTCCGGCCAACAAAATGCTGCGGTAAATTGATGTGATTAACAGTTATGCTTTCCAGCTGTGACTCAAAAATAGATGTGCAGTTGTTTTCTGCTTTGCACGTGCCTTTGCGACCAAAAAGTGGTACCCATTTAGGTAGTTCAGTCACCAGGATTCACTAATGGCATTTTCCTGTTAGCCACCAGATTAGAAGTTGATATCACGGGCACGATGTATCTCCTACATGGGTTGTTCCTATTTTTTACGCTGAACCTCTTTATCCGTGTACATATACCCAACTTCAGTTACTTAAAGGCAGTGGGCTTCAGTACTTCCATCAGTCGTAACACAAGGTGGTTCGGTAAACTCCTACTTTGCTCGGCAGTAAGAATGTGAAGGAAATGTTTCCTTCAGGCAATCAGCTCTCTGTGTTTATACAAGCAGTGTTACTGCCTTTCCTCGAGTTAGGAAAGGTCGGACTTAATTCCGCACAGTGTGGTATCCCAACAGTCGAAATACGACCAAAATTTACCGAGGTCCCGGACACATCTTCTGCGTGCAGTACTGCAATGATAGGAACCTCTGCCTTTCTGATTTCTTGGGTTCGACCAGTCTTCTGTAGCCAAGCCTGTAGCTGGTATCTACGAAGTGAGAGCTGCAGTTAGCCCTGGGGCTGAAAATCATGTTAGATCGTGTTGCAGTAAGCTGTCGTTTCTGGGCTGTGTGGCTATCTAGTTCAGTTTAAGTCACTACGCTGTTATGCATAATGTCTCTTCGCCATGTCAATGTAGCCTTCATCAGACTGTGATTCTGAAGCCAAGAGAGATCGTTTTTATCGAGATATGTCGCGACTGCTTTGGTGAGCAAAAAAGACGGATATTTTCGTCCTGCTGGGTGATATGAACGCCCAAGTTGGATCTCTAAACCTGAAAAAAGCACAGTTGTGTTGACGAGTTCGAGTCGATTATCACCGTAGTTATAATGACAGGCGACATCTTCACAACTTCCGTTCTTGATCGATGAGGACTTTCAGCAAAAACACTCAATCTTACTGGAAAGCCACGAACCACAAAACGGTCATGAACCCCACTGTATTGTGCAATTATTGGAAACCTGCTGAGGGCATCACGTAATGATCAACGTTCCTTATGGAATTCGTAGCCTGATTCCGATCATACCATAGTGCTGGCTTCCCGTCAGGGCCACGCATACTGTCGTTCAGTTCAGCAACCTCATTCGGTTTCTGTAGCGCAACAACATCGCGTTAATCTGACCCGATGGCTACTAGAAGTGCAGAAAAGGAATGAAATAAAATGAAACTATGTGAGCAGCCTTCAGGACTGTCTACCCAGATCACCTTACTTGACCAACTGAACACTGGATGTCGTCGAAGTCAACAGATCTCATCGGTGTCACACTAGTCACTGGAGAGCATGGTAGCACACAGGTCCCTCAAACACCGAATAATCAAGAACTCAAAGAATTCCAGAGGACGTTGGTGGATCGAAAAACCCTGGCTTCTGCTCCAGAAAATAACCACGTCTTATCCAGCCTAAGATATCGCCACTAACCTTGTACCCTAGATTTTCCAAAGGGAGTGATGCAGTCTGACAACCGTACTAGAAAATTCTTGCATCCAAAACCGAATGTTGGCGAAATGGAGTGCCTGTTCAAAATGGGGCATAAGAACATCGTACGGAAACTTTTGTGGTATCCTAGATGCTCTCTGGCATTATCATTTACCGATTGATCGACTACCAGGATTGACAGTTTCATGAGAATCAACCTACATTTCGCCCTGTCCGCGTATTCGTGGACAGCCAAACTTTCAAACGCCCGACGGCTGTCGTTTTTATTGATCTGAAGTTTATCTTTGTTTTGATCATCAATCTGGCGACCAAAGATGTCTGTTGCCTCATGGGAGTGTACGGTGAGCGTGCGTCTGATTTCACCATACCCAGTGGTTTGAAACAAGACTGCCCTCTCCACTAATTCCCTTTCAACTCTTTTTAGTATGATGCTCAAAACTCATCTGGGTCACGTGAATTCACGTTAACAAATATGCCACATCTAATGAAGATATTTCAGCGTGATCAAGAACTCTGGGATCAACTCTTTTTAATACAGCTTTTACACACATCAGTAATATCGCTCTGTGTCGGTTTAGTGGTACGGAGTTCCGCGTCTCGGCCCTGACGTATTCCAATCGTATTTTTTTAGTTACTGTTTTCAGGTGTGGACTCGTCCCGCTTCAACCATATCTTTCCCGCTCTTGGCGCTTGTGAAACCGAAGACGTCATGTTGGCCACCCATTTGATCACGGACCGTTGGAAACGAACCATAAAAATGTTGTATGCTAGAGCCAGAGGTATTCCCATCATTTCTCAAGACTGGCTAACCACGTGTGTCCGAACTCGGAAGAAATCGTATCCAGGTATTATACCGTTGTTAATGCACAAGTTTTAGAGTAGTAGTACAATTTGCTCATTCTTTGTCCATGGTGCTAGGATAGACTCAGATACTTCTTGTTTATTTCTGTTTTTCGCTAGGTGATGTATTGTACACTACGGCTATCTCCTTTGAGAGCTATCACAGGATGAAACCTTTTACTAAAGCATGTCTCAGAGGACAGACCAACAGTGGCCTTTCTTGAGATCATTCGTAACTTATGGTGCTTTTCAGGACGTCTTCGTTCATTAGAACCCAGCTGTCGTGGTAATTAAATAAACCGTGATGACGTAATGTAATAAAGGAAGCCCAATGGGAGGGTTATTGCACCGGTGCACCTGGCAGTCAGAAAGCCAGGGTTGGTTTCGAACCACCAATCTATCTATCCATAATCACTGAATAGTCTCCCGCCCGCTGTTGTAGCTAGTACGAGCCGGTCAGCTTGTTGACGCGAAGACAAAAGATGAACTCTTTTAGTACTTTGGCTTTTAACGAGCTATTGGTGACTACTTTACAAATAATAAAAAACCTGACAAACGTAGAGATTCGCTGACTGGGATACATCTGTGTGACCATAGACCGGTTTCGTAGCCTCTACTATTCCCGCATCGCAGCTTTGTTCTTAGATCCTCGCCGCTCCATGCCGTGTATAGCAAAAACCGGAGTATATAGTGGCCTGACCAACTGCCTAATACTAGACTGGATCGGGGTCGCACTGGAAAATACCGGATGCAAAGTCAGCGGAAGACAATTGACCGATGAAACTGGAGGATTTCTCAGCGCGAAACTGCCAATTATATACGATAAGGTAATATTTAAAATATAGCTACTTACGTTAATTGAATATAACAAGAATGGGATGTAGCACTTGTTTGGCCACAATCGGACATGTCATTCAGTAGAATCAAGATTACGACATATTTACGGCTCTCACAGAACCATGCTTCGTTTGGTGTCTGTTTTATCGTGGTTGGATCGCATCGGTGGGCTGAGAACGACTTTAGTTGGCTGTACATTTGGTAACGTGTGCCAACCTGATGGCACTCTGACTAGGTGCGTTGCATTAACTAAACTGCCTAAAACCCATCTAGTTAATGTTGAACTGTCGCCCGGTCGATTTATTAACACAGTTTCGCTTGAGCGATTGCTGGTTAAATAACAGAACAATGCTAATTCTTATTTGATTTCCACCTTAGGTCCATATGATCACATTTTCTCTTACACTTATGTTCACTTTCACAGACCCAATGGAATTTCGCCTTTGTGAGCCTTTACCACCAAGCCCACCATGTCGCCGCGCAGGTCGGCCGAGTCAACCCTTGAAGGCACCCGAAAAAGTGGAGCAGACAAACTTTTTGCGTGGCTGGTCGATCAGCAGCACTCTTGGGGTTTCTCCTACGCCTGACGACTTGGCACGTCTAACTGAACTTGCTGGCGGACGTTGGAAGCCGTATTCTGAACTGTTGCAGTTTTCTAGTCACGAAAAGGTCAGTAAGTTTTAATTTGGTGCACCTTTACTGTTGTTTCCTCTTTAGGTTCTTAGATTGGGTAATCATGATTTCTAGCTCGAATAGACTTTTTGTTCATGTTCCTCTTTTGCCTTGTAATGCATTCAACGTCAGCATCACAAAGCCGTCGTCGTTACAACAGAGAAGGATTTACTTGAAGTACAATCCGGTAGAAGAAAGCGTGGATCAAAACTGCCACCATCCCTCAACATGCCGTCCGTTTCGATGGAGTGGTTCTTACAAACATTAATGCGGCGTGTTCCACCCAGGTGGCCTGTGGACGACTTGTTCCTGTAAGTGTTCCGCACCGCTGTTTTTTTTCGACGAATGTCAATTGTGTAATGTGCTTTTGGGGGAGGGCAGTCGAGACATCGATTGGAATGGTTCATCACGCTTTATCCATATGTTTGAACACAACAGCCTCGTGGTCACATTCATCACTGCCCTGATCAGCACTAGCTTTAATGCTTCCACTTAAAAGCTGCGCGGGGGGGGGAATTCCCCATCCAGCATCAGTTGACTGTCCTTCAACGTTAGTTCAGATGAAAATATATGAAAGGGGAAGTAGGAAGTACGCATTATAACTGAGTCGCTCTGACTATCTGTTTCGGTGATAGCTTGTCGTGTGAGTTACTTTAAGATAACCTGTGACGTCGGGCATAAACATCCGGCCTTCTTACGGTATATTTTCTTTTTTCCGTTTGTGTAGTTATCATAGTCAACCTCTCACTGTGGTGGAGGGAGCGCTTGTGTTGAGCCTGTTTGCTGCCTCTCCGGCTGGAAGCTTTGAAACTTGACTCCAACTACGAGTAAGGGGATGTGTAATACACTCACTTAAAACCGCCACTGCGCATGTATTTGCAACCCAGTTTCGACTAAACTGTCGTGCTGGACTACCGAAACTTCTCCTCAAAACAACTCTGCCTTCTTCTTGTCAGTCACTGACGCACTTGCTGTTTTTCTTTTGTTTCACAGAGTTCGATAACTCGAAGTCCGCTGGAAGGAGGTATCGTTACAGATTATCGACCCTCTTTTTGAACCCATTGTACAATTGTCCCGTTTCTCTGCTAGTTCCGTCGCTTGTCCTTCCTGCTCGCTATAATTATGAATAAAATAGACGGCTATCTGTATTGTCTACAACTGTTCTCCTGACCGTAGTGCATACCCACGTGACCTACCTTGCCTCGGTGGTTCCCAACCGATTGGGAAAAATTGAAGGGCCAATCAATGACAGTTCATCTATAGATGTTTAGCATTCCAAAATGGAATCTGTGCTTACTGAGACTTCCAGAGGAACGAAGTGAGCAACTTTTGGCATTCTTCAGATATCCGCATAGCGATCGGATGCTGGTGCAATCTTAGCTGGTTGTTTATGACCAGCCTAATAACCTGAATCTCTTGGTACCGGTAAACAACGTCGATTTCTTGATCAGCTGAACGGCTTTCCAAGGTGTGAAATTGATAGGAGGGTCAACGTTTCTAGATAGCGCCGAGCGACTGGTTACCTGGGGGAGAGATCGAAAAATCCTATTTATTTTACCCAGTGTAACTTAAGTTTTGGAATCCTGTCTGTGCGCCTTGCAAGCAGTACGCCTGAAAGTGCCTAGCCATTTCATAGTCTCTTATGAGACACAGAAAGCCAGGTGTATGTAATTGAAGAGAGTATTTGTAGTGCAAGTTGTAATGAGAGTGCGTTGAGCTTGGAAGTACACTTCCAACCACAATGAACTGCTGATGTTACCTCGACTGGTGATGAAACATTTGGAACCAAATTGCCCAGCTCAGTCAACAAACCAACGACCAGTCAGCTGTATGTGGTTAAACTGGCCATTAGAAGTAAAGACCTCAATATCGTCAACCTAGTTTCTGAACTTGAGGGGGTGTCGCGCAACGTCATCGACCGCTTTAAAAAACAGCCGTGAAGGTTGCCCAAAGTAATAGCATCAATTTTATATCCATACACTTCAAAGTCAAACCGAATATTTTCGGTACGATAGGGGATGTGTTTCCGTAATGTTGGTCAAGTGTCCACTTCTATAGAGGGGTCATAGACAGCGAGCGCACCAATAAAACAATAAGAGGTTTAGCTGTCCGGAATGAATGTAACGGACAAATCGCGTGACGTGTGGCTTTGTTCCGGACATTTTTTCCTCTTCAGTGATGGTCTTGGTGAAAATTCAGCTTAGTGTATCTGCATTCAGTATTCACATGTTGGATTTATTTACTCCGCTTGTTAGTTACCAGTAGAGCCTGCTTCTGCCGAAGTTTTGTGCGCAGACATTTCGGATTAACAAGATTTGCATTGTTGACTCAGTCTTTTCTAACCTACTTCTAAAACTCTTCATGCCTCTTTTGAACGTTTAGAACCGTAGATATAAGCGTGTACCTCGACATACGGTGCCCAAATTTGTCCTGTATGCCTACTTGCTGAAGTGCATCCAAGTTGGACCATGCTTGTGACCTTGTCAATGTGTGTTTCGTTGCTTGCTCCGCAAATAATTATCCTCACGAACACAGAACTTTACTGCGCGATTCGATAAAAGGGCTAGAGAGAACATCAGAACTGAGGTTTGGTTTATATAGCATGTTGCAGGACTTACAGTAGTCCTTCACTCATCTGGTGATCAGTAGGCACTTTTGAGGTTGACCTGTATCATACGGCAGTCTGTCAGCAACCTAAACAATGTACACCAGTGTTGTGATAATCTGTCAATACGAGCTATCCATCAGTCGGGGCTAAAATACTTGAAATTGGAACCTCGTGTATGTACTCACGTAACCGTGGCTGATGTTCTACCACTAAAGACAAATTTCCAGCAGAAATAAAACGCGGCGGGATTTGCTTACAGAACGTCGGTACCAATCTGCTTGTGGTATCACCCACGCAGTCTTCATTTGCCAGTTTGCCACGAAACAAAGGATCATAACACAATAGGGCATCAATTTTTTATTTTTCCGAATGACAACTACATACACTACACTTTCTTTTAGCTTCTGATATATTTGCAGGTCGATCTCCGAAGTTTTCATGACACTTGGTTCTACTAAGCGAGTTCTTATCGCGTATCCTTTGAAAGCTGTAAAAAAAAACGCATCGCTGGGTACATCGGATTGAACACAGTCAGAAAACAATGTTGATTACAGGATTTCTCCAGGCCTCGGCAGTGTCAATGATCGCTCAGCTCTAACACCCTTTGGGTGTCCAGCTGTTATGCCACCCGGACAAATCACGAGGGCTGAGATACTGCCAGGTTCCCAAACCTAGACAGAAGCAACCAGGATGCAGAGGCTTGGTTCGAACCACGAAACTTGCGGTCAGTAAGTTCGTGCTTAAGCCACTGAGCTATCTCCAGCTCTTGCTGCATTGGTGTGGAAAGTCAAACCATCCCGGGGGAAACCTTCAGAACTATGCCCCTCGATTATGGTGTTGGGCCCAAACTCATTACCATAGCGAATGCTCTGGATTTAACTGAGTCTCAGGAATCCAAACGTGGTTTACTTTCATGAATCTGCAACGATGTCTTTAATGTTTAATGTATGCCGGACACGATGTGTGTGTTCGTCACACAAAATGTCTTTTTTAGGGTCGTGTTTGTTTGAATCACCACTGTATAGTTGTATGCCGTGCTCCGCACTAGCCTGAATGTCGAATAAATTAACGTCTTAATTGCAGCATTCCGTTTATTATTCGATGGCATCACCTGCTGAGAACACAGAACTAAGAGGTTCTTATACAAAGAAATATCTCACTGACCAGTGTCTACTCTTCAGTTGCCATACCAATATTCCGCGCTGTCAGCACAGGAGTCTTCCAAAGATCGAATCGGTGATGCCGACTGTAGTGCAACGCCTCGGGAACTCCAAAATAGGACTACGAAATTCACAATGCGCCTTCCTGTATCTATCCGCAAAAAGTAGGGCATCTAAAAATGTGTCTTCAACTCTACTGAGGAGACCCTTTTTTGAACACTGTTTTTCGACTCCATCAGTTTTTTGGATTGGATCTCCGGGGCGTAGCAGTTTGTTCGGTTTCGTCCTAAGGACAACCTCCATATCACACACTTCCTTTTCCACACTGCCTTTTCCCACTACAAACAAAATGACAATTTACACGCTGACGCTACCCACGTGAATTCGATCCTGAACCATCGTATCTCATACTGACGGCCCACTTTACTGTTGACCTGATTATCTCTTCAACGACTCTGTTTTCGATTATTCTATTATCTATGAGCGATTTACGTAGACACTTGTGTCAGTCCAGTACCTCAATGGGAATCTCGTTATCGATAAGGTTCGCCCGAAGTGTGGTTTACGATAAACCTTCTAGCGTACAAACTTCACTACAGTTCCAGAGAAGTTTGAGTAAGCTTCCGGTGTCTGGGAATAAGAGAGTTTCCATGTCATTATTTATAATTCCCAGTAAGAGGTGCACAATAATTGGTTGGATCGTTGTGGCTTACCTTTGTTTACATTATCCTATGTTGAGCTTCAAATTGGTTTTGTTAAAACGAAATCCCTGTTTACCATGCTGGTTCTGTTTTCGCTTCTTTCTATATTCAGCATTGAGCTGAACTCTACTAAGGTTTGTAGAAATGCTAACATAAAGTGCTGCATTCGGATTCGAACTCACGTCCGGAAAATCGCACTTGGTGGCTTTGTACAAAATATCCCTTTTAAATGGAATATGCATGATAGGTCTCGTCATTGCAGTTGTTGAACAGTTCACATCGTTGAGTTGATTGCGCATCAGGGACGGTTGTTTGAATGGAAAACGATCGTGTGCAAACGAGGTACTTGGTGATATGAGTTTCTTTAAACTAACTGTTGAGTAATCCGGTTAGTTGTAGTACTTCGTTTTAGTTGGACATCTAAACACACCAACGGATGATCGGATGTAAACGTAACCCTAACCAGTAGCAGAAGGCAACACAGAGTCCAGGAGTGGTAGACTTGGACAGGACGAGCTCACAACATGTCTGCTCGTTAGTGATTCTACGGTCTTGGACCATTTAGCAAAGCCAGCACAATAAAAGTATTTACTTCTTCTTATGATCCCGTGGTTGATGGAAGTCGCAAATTTCATGTGTCCATTAAAATGACCATAGATATGTAGGTCATATCCGGAGTTTTCCTCATCGAACGCTCGTAATACATAAAAGGACTACTTGCATACCTCAAACTATTATGGTTTTTTTACCTGTTTACGTAGTTGACGAAACAACCCTTTCAGTCACTGCTTTGCGGTTCCAACATTCGCTTGAGATATATCCAAAACAATTGATTGAAACAGGAGTACGAACGCCCGCCTTAATCGTGGTTAACACCATCAATCATGCTTAGTTAAGAAACACCAACCCTATGAGAACGTCTGCGGTGTGTTTTACTTGATACGGTGGTGGGATACATTGACAGTGAAGCACATGTGACTCTCTAAACACAGAGCTTTTTTAGCCTATGATGCAAATTATTTTCACCCCAACCAGGTGCGAATTCCATATTCAGTTTTCTCTCCTTTCTGTGCCTTCAATCCGTGCTCCTCCTCTATCCTGGTGTGTCGGCAATACATGCACGCTGATTGATAACGCCTCTTCATCCGATGATTTGTTGCCGCTCAATTCGTATGTTTATTTTTTTGTCATCACCCTTGCACAAACGTAAAAGCCGATATGTCGCAGACTGTAATTGCTTACAGTGGCAAACACATGTTGGACAGCAATATTGATTGCCAAGCCCTACATAGTTCTCGTACCTACGGTCTCGCCTACACACTAAGCTAGCTTCATTAGCTATTCCCGCAGGTCCAACTACGCACCTGTGCGTGACATGCATAATCTCATCCCTTCGTCCATGCCCAATTGGCTGTATCAAACTGTGACCTTGGAACATACTGCTTTCAGATTGGCTGAAAGAAATCGGGCGGTCATAATGTATTTGCATTTCCGTCGGTTGCATGTTCGTTGGAATTCTCCTGTTGGGATCCTGTCCTTGCCTACTGATCTCCACTGCGTCTGTTCAATTCACTGCCCGATGACTGCGGAATCACCTCCATTGGTGTAGTCTGTGATGAGTAACAAACGAAATCGCCGTAATTTGTTGTGGATAACATGTTTCTGTGCTGAATCACGAGCCGCTGTGCTAGAGGAGGCAGATGAGAAGTTGGTGCGTCTTATCCAGAAAGGCAACCTACCAATTATCGAACGAGCTCTACGCCGACTCCGGCGTCCCTTAAACGAAGTTACATTAGTTGTCAAACGTCGACATCTGAGTACAGCCTACCCATGTCTTGTAGACCATCGAGCAGCTGGCAGCGATCCTTTCATAAACTTTTACCAAGAGTGTTCACCAGTCCTTTGGGCTGTTGACTGTTTGCAATGGCAAGTCCTCCCACTCTTAGGACATCACGGCTATGATATCAACCGTCCGCAAACATGTCGAAGATGGACCCATATTTGTGGCCCGAGTTCACGTCCAAACTCAGCTCCCTATCGCCGATTTTGGACTTGTGGGCGTTACACATATCAATCTGCTTTGGATTATTTCTTTGCTAGCATTTACGAATTTCTAGGGGAACAGCCGTCTACCTATAACGGATTAAGTGGTCCCAGTCCATTGGCTTTCTATTTTTCTCACTTACCTGCGATTTTAACCAAAGGAGTCGATGTCCATCGAATTGATTCTGTGATTATTTTTAACTCCCTTGCTGCTAGTTACGATGAGTTCTTATGTCGATACACCAATGAGTACGCCATTGTACCGGATATACCAGAGAATGATGATGCTTTTGTAGAGATGACAGCAGTCAAACACCTGGTGGAGAATGGATTCTCCCAATTCGAATGCATGGATTATTTGTACCCTTGTTGCAACTGGTTTGGGATTTTGCTGTGCTTGATATGTCACCCGAAAATAGACAGTTATGGAACCAACCTCCTACCTCCCATCATTCGACATGCAGCGTTGTTGCTGACAAACTTGTTGCTACTTAAGTGTACATTCCCCTCAGCAGAGGAGTTCAGTGAAGCTCTAGAGAATCTTCATCTACGAAAGGTCTATTCCAAACGCTACTGCGAACGTCGTGATGAGTTCAATCGACGCCTGTCCAACCTACACCAAGTGTGTCAGTCTATGGTTCTACAACCACTAAGTCTGAAAATTTTAGCTCGGAATGCTGTACGGAAACAGCTGGGTGGAGTCGACTTTTGCCGAAAACTCGCTTCGCTCTGTCTCCCTCCACAACTACACTCATTTGTACAATACATCAATCAAGAACACCTGAAAGCTATTGAAATGCCAAAACAGTTGATTCGGTTGGCACAGGGGGAGTGGGTTGAGTACAGTCTCGATCGTCGTAGGTCCGATCGTGAGGATCAAAGTGACAGCTGCTGGCATCATAGCACTCCATCGACAAACAACCATCAAACCAACAGTTCTGTGGAAGATTTTATTCAAGTTGATGTTGAACGTCCTCATCGAGATTCCTCACGGCACCCTGTCCCTGAGGGCTGTGAATTTGAAAATTCATTCATATCTCCCCCCTGGCCCAGGCTTCTTCGCCGAGGACGCACTTCAGAAAGGCAACATCTCGCAGCAACACGACGTCTCGCGTTGAATCACCAATATTCGGGAAACACGAGAAACATCAGAGTACGTCCATCTTCTGCACCCGTACTAAGTTCCTCCGTGTTTTCGGATTACTATTCGTAAGATTCCCACCTCAGGTTGGTCAGTACCTTTCGAATGCCTTCGAGTTTGTCGAAGCAGTTAGCTGTAATGTACTTCTGTTCTGATAGTTTGCTTACGAAATAGTCATTCACGAGCGCTTGTATTCTCCGTACGGCATGTGAAAAGGTACTATTGGTCATTCATTCTTTCATTCTCAGCTGTCTAAACATTCCGTGTGTAGCTGACACCCTGAACATTATTGGCCAAATAACACCACCTGTATTTGTTTATCCAGTCGTTCTTGTGGTTTCCGAACTGTGATTATTTCCGTCAACATGTACAGCATTTATGCGATCATCAATTGTGTTCATTCTGTGTATTTCTGCCGTGTTAGTTGGAGGATTCCGATTCCTAGTTATTGATTCTATTGATTATCTTGTTCTGACTACAGTGTTTCTTCCTTTTATTTGATCAACTATTTGCATTTGTATTGATCGGTTGTTGTTATTTTTCCTCAAAATTTCTACGCGTTCGAGGGGATATCCAGTAGATCAGCTAGATTTGCAGTTTTTCATGTGAAAGTCATGTGACTTGATTCCAATCCCCCGATCGATGTTCGTTCAGGCACAGTGGATCGGACCTCGGAGTTTCTCTCTAACTATACAGTGTCCAGTTTGATCCATTGTCTTTCGCTAGAAAGTCATTACGTCAGGCTAGAAAACATCCTGCCTGTTGTGTTTTCGCGTTTGACAAAGCCATCACATAGTTCTGTTTATTCAGTACCTTGAAGTCGAGATGCATAAGTCGGTACCTTTTTCTTGACGTCAACTACTTCACATAGAAACAATGATAAAATGAAGTACAATCCTAGCATCGTGCGCGCTTGCGAATCTACTGAGGAACAGAAAGTAGAATTCCTGGTGATTTACGTCCATGTGTGTCCTTAGTTGGCAATGGTGACATCCCACACTGTCTATCCGGACCTGAAGGATGATCGATAATGGCGAACTACCTTCTGATAAGGTGTTTTTGATTGGTTGGGAGTAACGACGAGCAAAATTCACTTCCTCAAACGATGAAATTCTTTTTCGGGCGACTACCTAGTAGCTCCAGAGAACAGTGTGCCAAGGTAAAAAAAAGGTGTGCCCGAAAGTTGAGAGGGAAAAGACCAACTGGTACATTGCGGGTACTTGAATTAGCTGGTCGAAGCGGAGGCAACAAAGTCAGAAATGTATTCAGGCAATTTGTCACGATATTCATAATAACGCACTGTTTGCCCTTATTATCAACGTCAAAACATTATAGGGTTCTCTCAGAATGCTTAGAAAACAGTACTCTTTTCTCTTTCTAGCGCATTACCTATATCTTATCTGACAAGCACCGTAATAAGCACATACTTATAGCGGATCTGTCGAGTAGCATAATCCACCCACGTCGCACTGAGAATACCAAATCCTGACTTCCTCGTATTGGTGTGACACTGCACGTTGTCTCGCTTTTTTTGCCAGAGAAGTGTTTATTCAGCAATGTTATCCACACAGAATTATTATCGTATATTGTCAGTGAGATCAGTTCGTGAGATGCGCTAAAATATGCCTTGGTAGACCATTGATCAGTGAGATGCGCTAAAATATGCCTTGGTAGACCATTCGCCTGGAGCAGCCGTTTGTTGTTTTTTTTCCCACAAAATCTCAACACACTGACTTTCATCCTCTTTCGCTGAGCTCCTGAATCTAAGGGTTCTCTGACGATTTTAAATGTGTTAGACTTGAAGAATGTAACTGTGTACTATCAGCATTTGCGTTGGGCTCTGGGTCTGTTAGTCTGTATTGACACACAATAACATACAGGTGAGGCGATCACTTTGTATATACGCCCCTGCAAGCCTTGCGCAATCGCCATTAGGGATACCGAAGGGACGTGTAACTGGACGTATAACCTTAAAACTTCATTTCTAATTGGATAAATCTGTCCGGTAAATCCGCCCGCAACTACTAACAATACATAAGTGATGGTGTTTAGCTCATCCCCGTTTGAAGCGAGGGGACAAAAGGTTGACTTGTGTAATTGTCATGCCAGCTAGACATTATTCGGCACAAATTTTACTGCAAAAACCCTCAGGTGGTAGACATCTCATATCGCACTCTCTTGTAAAATAAACAAGCTAAATCTGTTTTCCTAACCGTCAAACGTACACTGGTATCGTAACGGAACACTGGTCGTTTTCCAGAATAAGGAATTAAATCTCCTTAGCCATTTATCCTCTCGTTAAGTCGCACAAATGTTGTAAGCGAAGTGGAAAACTAAAAGTCAGGCCAAGTTGCAAAATGTCTACAGACTGCCATGGTAGCAAGACGAAGATCCCGTTTCATACTAGGCTGAAAAGCCTACGGGAACACGGGTTCTCCTGGTGCATTTCAACAATCGGTTAAGTTGCAAACCGTGGAGATTCGCTAAAACTGTGGCACCTCAACAGTAATGGATAACCATGTATGAAGCTGACAAATGGGTGTGTAGTGCTGCACGAATCAGACTGATGAATTCTGAATAGCTTCAACAGAAACATCTCCCAAATCATTCGTTCCCCGGGACGGGAGAAATTAGGGGTATATTGTCACAGATTATAGAAACTGTGTGCTGACAGCTCTAGGTGTAGAAACGGTTCGTAAATTGAGGTTCACTACAACTAGATACAGCCCAGATTATTCTTGTGATATATATTCCATCACAAAAGCCTATTGGTAAAAATAGTCCGTTCACTCAGTCAATTTCTAATATAACAAGAGTGAGTTGGTTCAAGTTGCTTTGATCTCGGTAACCGGAAAATGGGCGGCTCAGGGAGGTATGGCCAGGCATTGTAATAGTCGGAATACCAGTCAGTAGGAAACTGGCCAGATGCGCCGGTAGCTTTGCTGCAGGATCGCCCCTGGCAGCAAGATTGGGCCATGTTTTTCAGTGTCATCTGTCAACCTGAGGGAGCTCACTGGTTACCGCTTTCATGTTTCGTTGCTACGTCACAGACTCTCAGCCTTTTGATCACTTTCACTCATCACTGAGCTAGGTAAAATATGATCAGCTAGTCTATATCGAGAGAATTCGTCCCCTTAAATCGATCCGATCTACCTCGGCATTACTAAACCGATGNTGAGGGAGCTCACTGGTTACCGCTTTCATGTTTCGTTGCTACGTCACAGACTCTCAGCCTTTTGATCACTTTCACTCATCACTGAGCTAGGTAAAATATGATCAGCTAGTCTATATCGAGAGAATTCGTCCCCTTAAATCGATCCGATCTACCTCGGCATTCCTAAACCGATGTTCCGAACATGACTTGACCAATACTTCCTAGATACCTATGGCCAAACAACGAAAGTTCTCCTGCTTTCTCTGCGTGGTAAGGCCACGCATCTGCTCAATAAAGCAGTATGGACAGTACTGTTGCAGTACATACTCTGCACCTGGTGGACACAATGAGGTCACCTCCGCGCCATATGTATCGAACAGTGCAAAAAGTCGGTATGACTTTCCAAATCTGACATGTAACCTCATCCGTATTCCGTCCTCCGGAGCCCATACAGAAGCTCAGGCGAGGGAAGCAATTTGCCAAGTCGAATGGCTCTTTTTTTAAACATAAGGTTTGGGTCTTCAACCATGTTGCAAAATTAGAATAGTCTAGTTAAATTTTGTCTTTTTTCTTCTTCCTCGAAAGCCCTCAGATACTGGAGACTTGATACACACCAAGGTTTATTCGTATCTGGTTGCTTGATAAACCTGGTCATTTCGACAGGAATAAATCTTCCCCTCATGAATAGTGAGGCAATGAGTCAGTTTTGTAGGCTTGAAAGTACTTGAGAGATATGCTCATCTTCCGTCGTTTTGATAACATGCGCAATTTGATTCCTACCGACCACCTAAATTCCTCAATTCTTGATCAGAATCACATTCCCTAGTCACAGTAAGTTTTAAGGCCTAAATTACACTGAATAATGGTGTCGAAAAATTTCCCAATCAAGTCCCTTTGTTAGTGGATCCGGTGGATTAGCACACAGACGATTTTTTGGCATCTGGAAGATCTTGTCTATACTATTCCAAATAAATCTGGCATCTTGAGCCTCCACTTCCGTGATGATAATGATCAACATGGTGGAAGTTGACTTAGTTTTTGTGGACGGTAAGCGGATCTGATTCTGACCATTGAACTTTGGACTTGGGTAATTCAGCTCTACGCCTCCAGGCCGAACGTGTATGTGAATTACACAGAATCACATGAGCCATTCGTTGAGGGCAAAATATTTCATTAAACAACTTATATCTACTGAAGAACATCCCTCTGATAAAACTTCGTCAAACTCTGCACATGGATAAAAGGCATAATAAAAAACGGTAAGGTTTAAGGTAATCTCGGTCAGGATGAAATTCAAATCGTGGTTGGTAGAAAACTAAATCAGACCATGAGAACAACGTGATTCGGATAACTGACTGGCTTGCCACACAAGCGCTAGCCGCCATACTGATCACCTCTCAGCAACAAACTCAGGCTGGCATCCGCAGTGGCTAGGATCTTCGGAATGATATTTTTCTTCTCTGTGGGTAGAAGCGAAAGCCGTTTTGGTGTTTAGTTGGTGTCCAAGGCTCAAACCCAAATGTGAACAGTTAGCCATTCTCCATTCTGCAGGCCAACCATATGGTCAGGCATTCGTTTGGAGTGTTGGATCATTAACCGGACAATATAATTTATCCCACAGCAGCATGTGAACGGCTGCATGCACATTAACGTGACACGACAAGGTACTTCGTCTTTCAAATCGTGTCTGTCCGGTGGGAGATTTGTGAGGACACGTATGAACGGCCATCTAAGAATGTTCTTCATAGATATTTCCAAGTATTCTGGTTGGTATTTCATTAGGTGGGTCTCCTCTGATTAGGCTCCTCCAACACATTATGAATCATTTGTTTTGGGGGCTTATGTTTCACGTGTCTCTCGACACTTGTTTTCTTGAACCATGTTTATCACCTGTTCCAGCTCCTTTTCCAGAGTCTCGTTTGAGCAAGCAGTTCTGGCTCCATCAGGGAGAGGGTGAGCCACTTGTCGTTCCATTCTAAGTGAAACTAAACTGAAAAAATACGCATATCGGCCACTGTACGTCGGGCTGTGAGAAACAGTTGGTTTTATCTGTGCCTGTCGTATACCATTCAGTAGCGCATCCAGAAAATGACAGCCTGCTTTCTCTTATACCACACACGTTAATAAAATGTACGTGTTGTCAGATATGCCGGAAATTGACATGGAACCGAGAGTAGCGTCACATATAACAAATCCAATGTTAATCTTTCTGCCATAAAAATTAAAGCGGATCGTTTCATACAGTACCCATGGGTTCTTAAGCTTGGAAGTAAACTTATTCGAAATAACTGGCCCAAGGAAAGAGCCCATGGCTACTCAATCCAGTTGCCCATAAAAATTGCCCTTGAGCATAAATCGTGCACTATAAGTTAAATCCACCTTTCCTATCCAGGTTCAGTCAATGCTGCTGTATACTGTTCAGTTTCTAACAAGTGTAGATTGGTAATAAGTGAAGATATACCTACCTACCTATTACAGTGTTTTCTCTCTTACATTACATCTTCGAACCTGTTGATGGTGTCTATTACAGAGATTGGGCTTTATCACCATTTTATGGTACAGTGCATTGGTTCAGCTAGTTCGTGTACCCCAGGAAAACAGTATGCCCAAGGAATGTGTGCACTTGAAAGCATTAGTCGTTAGCATCGTTGCGCGCTGACAAAAAATACTGCTTAGCAATTCTAAACACTACTTCAGCCGTCTTCCTACCATTGGCGTATTCCATTTTCCTTTTCACAACTTGTGAAACGCTCCGATAGACCTGACTTTCTAAAATAATCAGAATAGCCACGTCGCCTACTCTCCTGTTGATGATTATAATCACTATCGCGGTGATTGTCATCTTGTTGGGGTCTCCCTGTAAGCAAGTCTTGAGTATCACTATTTGCAACAATTGCTAGGGAGTTTCTACTTCAGTCCTTCCAACGCTTGTTCAGGTAAGGCAATCAAATCAAACGTCTTAGAATTTTCCAAACTGTTGCCTCAGTGCACAGGAAATGCAGCCGGAGAACAGTGCGCTAACTGAAGCGGTCAAGACGTTGTACTGGAACCATATATGCAGTTTGACGGTCAAGCAGACCGGAGGCGGAAAATATACCGTTCGTTAAATGTGGTGAAGCATCCATTCAGTTCGTACACCAAGCCAGGTGGCATACTGCTGATGAAGCATGCGAGTAGTCTATGATTTGGTGTCCAAGCTCCGCCCCTGTATCAGTATCCACAGAAATTGTGGATCTGCTCTACAGTGTTCGTTTACTATTGCCTGCTAGTCAATGAATAACCAGAAAAGTTGAAAAAGTTGACCGAGAATGTTCAGTTTCTAAAGTTTACGTTCATATGAGATGATTAGTTACCTGGCTTGTAACTAATTCGTTCGTGTTCGTTAATAAATGACTTCGCAGTAAAAGGCTTTCCTTCCTTCACCAGTAGTATGTTTTTGTTCTCGATTTTCACTTGAACTATCAGAACGCAGACAGTAAACTGCCACCTAATGTCGATGTCAGTCTGAAATCACCTCATATTAGAGTATAAAAGATCCTTTCTTGTTTTACTTTTGGAATATTTTAAGTTCACAGAACATCTTTGCTTCAGGGAATTTTCTGGAATTCTGGTTACTGGATATTTGTAGGAACCAGTGTGCGCGGTGAAACCGCGGGTCGTTTCGACCGTAAAGGGAGTTTTACTATGGTTCAACTAGTATTCAGGAGATGAAATTACCAGTATGTGCTGTAGAGTCTAGATGACCATAAACTGTCGGTTGCCGGCGACTCGCTAGTGTGCTACGCTATCAGGAGGCTTATCTGTTCCGAAGGGGGTCAATGGATTTCGAGGGAATAGCATGGTCTAATACGCGGTTGCTGTTCTTCAGTGACAGTAAGTGAAGTGAGATTTCCGATAAATTCTCCATGCCCCATTATTGCGATTTTAGCGACACTACCTTACTCCTAGTCTGATACTTTGCACAGACAAGAAGCCAGATAGTTACATTATAATGTCCGGATATTTTCTAATACACAATAAGTTAGCTGTCCATTTCGGGCAAAAACCGAACAACGTTGTGTTTAGACATAATGATTTCAGATAGATCTGCTTTGTCAACCTATCAAAGCCTCAACTAACTTTTATAGTATATCAGTGAGCATCTCGTTAATACCAGGGTAACTACTTGGTCAGTTTCGACTCTCCTAATAATGCATCTAATGATGCACGACTGATATCGAGAATAACGTGATCTCTAATTTTAACATTCGAGCCAAAATTTTTATCCATATCTTTTATGTTTTGTAAACGTCAGAACTCACAGCAAAAGTAGTGTTTGATACAACTAAACTGCAGTCAGTTGGACCGAGTGGTTTTGTGAACACAGTGCAGCCGAAAAGTCCTGCACAACACTGGTGCGCTCACCCAGACTGGTGGTCCTTTTGAACAAACATCTGACTTTTCTATAGGGGAAAATGTTGGTAGCTCATGTCGCGTAGATGGTCGTTGGTTCGGTGGTTGTGCCACAACCACCAATCCAGCGCTACTCTCCCCTGCGCTCCCTTACAACGAACTGATGATGTCACCTCGACTGGTGGTGAGACGTTTGCAATCAAGTTGCCCAGCTCAGCTAACAAACCCATGGCATCATACTTTGTTTAACTTATTCACTGAAGGACTGCTACTACCAATGCGACGTGCACTTTAAAAGTGCAGTGATTCAGAAACACCGAAATGTTCCCCCTTCGTGTGCTCAATTCGGATTCAGGTCACCGTTAAGCCGCCAGCGTATGGGGGTAGTGTCCGATGACCGATATGAACCCACAATAATTTCGTACGTCTAGGGTGCGCAATAGCGTTATTACGTGGTACCCCCTCCTTCGTAAGTGCTTAGACCGGTTGGGAAGCGGACTGTGTGTGTTTTTAGTGTGTGGACATTCATTTTAAGGTTTGCTTGGAAGTACTTAATGCAGACCAACTGCCCTTGCTGTAAAATCTCGAAAATCTCAACCCTGGAATTAACTTAACCCTAGGACTTTAGTACTGAGAAGTTGGGAGAAATTTATGGCAGCCTTTGGACTGCTTCGGTTGGGTTCATAAGTACCCACTCAGCATTATCGTTGAGGTGCAGGGTAATAATGAAGGGGCTGACTAAACGTCGCATGCTTTTCGAATATAGCAACCGAATTGTCACAATGTGTTACGCATTTTCGCGTAAACAAACACAGGTCTTCTGAGAAGTGATCGTTGCACGTATTGGGTGATGCGCTGCCGTGATTGCCCCACCTACTTGATGACGAACCTTCCTAATTTGCAAATCGTAACCAGAAATAGGGAAGAACGACCCGACACAATCTAACCCCGATGAAACTATGCCCCGTGCTGATGTATGGATCCATTGCCGATGCTTTTTGTTTGTGCCAAGTGCAGTGATTGCATGAGGTTTTGTGGCATCGATGTCGGCCAATGTATGTTCCACCGTGAGATGTTATGACCAGGCATGATCCAACAGCAAGTGAAAGAGCAATCGTATCGAAGTTAGCGTGGCCACAGCGTTAACCGAAGGCACAGGCTTTCGGCTGATCAGACAGGTAGCGTCTGCTGCGCTTCCCAAGGGGACCTAACGACCCAGATCAACTTCCGTTCCCACTCAATGACCGAGGTCGGGGTTTCTGCGGTACGTATTACTCGAGATGTCCTTCCAAATACACAAGTCCTAGGTTAGCTACTACGATGACCGTTGCCAAGTAGTGCTACGCCCTCAGCTGTAGCGATCAGCCGTTAAGGCTACGACAAAAACCAGTGATATGCGTGCCAGATGATTTGATGTAAGCTTCAGGACAAAGGTGGTGGCAACAGATCCGTCCAGTATCAGTGGGGAAGTCAGTACCAAGGCTTCGACGGATCTCCTGTGGAGCACTAACTTACATTTATTTGAATTTTCCAACCTGGTTGTGGTGGTGGGTTTCGGCTATATGATTCTCAATTATCATTGCGGTAATCCCTCAAAAATTGACCATTTACAAGAGATTTAGTAGATAGCCCAACGTCTGTTCTGGTCTTCTACGGGGATGCTGGAACTTGCTAGTGCACAAATCAGCGAAAAATGACTTAAGGGAGGTCAACTACCTACAAAGGTTGCTTCATTCACGGAAAAATTAATGGATTTCTGAGCAGTCCCGTGGTATCAGCACCCCTTCCCTTTACACAAGATACATGAATGACAAAATTAGAATCGTTAGAAATATATTCCATATAGCAGTGTAAATTTTTACACAATGATATCATCAAAAGAAACTCCTCCGAAAGGATGACACTGTCTCATGACAGGTAATAGATGGTTGAGATATCTTTAAAGAAAAACACCCTCCGACACCGGTTGTCCTGAAGGGATATAAATGACCCACACGTTACTGGTGACATAGTTCCACGTTTGATTGGCGACTATATATGAAGGATTTGAAATGCTAGATTTTTTCAGATGCCAGGCACACTTTCGAGACCCTCCATAGGCTATCGTGGGACATATTTGCTACTTAGTAAGTCTGCGTAAGTAACATGCGAATGAGAATGTCTCTACAACATCACTGTATCCCATCAAGTTGGGATAATCAGGTGTGCGAATCCCATAACATGATGATGTCGTTTAGTAACAGATATACTGAATAATATTTTCAGTGCAACGCTAATTTGGTCACTTGGATCTGATTGCACTTGAGTTTCTGTCCTACTGAGAAACTGGGAATTCATAAACCATGTAACAAAGCCTAACCCGGGCAAGAACCTAGAACCAACTAAAGTCAGCCTCCCCTTGAATGCTAGTACGTTTACTGACATCGAGCATGTTTTGACAAATGTACCCTTCCAGTAGCAGTAAACAGTTTGTGAGCACATATTTGAGAACTACCATCCACGATTCCATTGTCACAAGGCATGGTGAGCAGCAATGACTACAGTGATTTGTGGACATGACTGGTAAAATCGGCATTTTGATAAACAAAACAGTCTGTCGTGTGATTATAAATACCCACTTTGATATGTATTCAACAGAATTCCCAACACCTACCATCATCCTTACCCGAATTAGGATCACGTCGCTTCGATTCTGTTGTACGCGCTTTTAATGTGGCATCTTTGCAGAAACAACCCTCGCAAATCCCAAGAAAATACAATTGTCTGCATGACGTAAAATGTCATCCCATCAAAAACCGAAATGCAAGATTCGCACTCTGGGCTTTTATAAGTGTCCAAACAATGGTATGGTAACAAGTTTGGGCTTCAATGAGAGTTTTATCTGTATTGTTGAAACTGCTGAAGTCTCCCCTCCTGTAGGCACCACCATTTAGATGAGCCCTCTTGAGGTCTGCCCCCTAAGAGCTCATCGGTTGCTTGACACTTCCGAGAAGAACCCGTGCATCAGGAGAAAGCAATATTGGTGACTATATGAGGGTGGTAGGACCACTTAGTGCGCTTTTGCTCCATAATATCACTCGGAACTATCGATCCGAAATGGTCTGTTTTAAATTTCCGTCTTCTCAGAACAATATAGTTGCACGCTGGTGTAATTTTTCTGGCAGGGATACGAGCTGTTGATCAAAAAAGCATTATTTCACTGCATTGTGCATATGACTTTGGAAAACAGGTTTGAAAAGCTTTGAAAAAGGCCTTCCTAACATTCTTCTGTTGTCCTCCGAGTCACAGTTACCACAACTGTGACGTTTTATTTATGAAATATTTTGAGTCGACTCATTTTGGTCTACTTGGGATGCTCACCCTCTGTAGATAATGAAGTCAACTAACTGGATGTTGTGCCGCACGGTCCCATAGTCAGAGTAAAGTTGTAGAACTGTAGCACTCCACAAGAAGCTAACTACCACATTGTACACTTGATTCTGCAACGGCCTTACGGTTAGTGGCTTCCAGTTGGCATTGCGTGAGAGCTGGTAAGAAACGGTCTATGTTGGGCACATAACTAGGAAAGTCAACCAACATTACCTGTACATTTTGCGCCAGCCCATAATTGCCCACCTAGCCATGCTTTTTCTGAAACCGGTTGGCCAACCCGGGTATTTACATCGCCTGAGAAAATCCGCAGCTTTTGCTGGACGGAGCGATAGACGCCAACTTTCTCAGCTTCTGTGCTACCGTCTGTTGTCGATACAACGAACAGCCACTAGTTGTCGCATTGTGATGCAGTCATCTCAAATAGGACAATCAACAACAATAATTCCCCGGATTTAAGTTCTGTAAGATGCTTTTGGCTAAGAGTGCAACTCTTGTGTCGCTGGTGCAAGGATCCATTTCATCAGGATATCCAGGCATCAAGGGAGCGAAAAATTAGTATGCCGGTTCACATATAGCGGATCCAGTTGAATGACCGAGCTGGGGTCATATATACGTGTTCTTGGAGAAACGACACTTATCAGTCTACACTAGCAAGGCCTTTCACCCAATATTCACTGAGTTTTTACACTCACGTAGGTGATCCGAAGCAGATTCTTTGATTCATTGAGTTATTTTTGTCGACTAGCTGTGGGACAGTAGTTGGGTAACCGATATAATAATGGTTCAAGAAGGCCCAGTTGAAGGGAATGTGAAGGCTGGTAGGTGAACGCGGGGTTAAAAGTAATACTACTGATCCCCGGTTGTTTGGGCCGAAGAAATGGATTGGAGTCCCCGACTCGAGAATCTGAAAACAAGGTATTGTTGCAATGTAAGGGTTTGTTCGAAGTTAGACCTTCAGCCACAGGTCAAATGTCTGAACTGCGCGTTTAATTAAGAAGTCCACTGAATCAACAGTCTGGCCCACTTCTATGCGGCAAATGACTTGGCCCGATGACACATCGCTGAGGCACTAGTGCTTGATTCTAAATGCTGCTACAGTCAGCCAATGCATCTGCAGTCGCACCAGGCTGAGAATAAGTTTTATTTTTTATTGTATTGGTCCTAATGTCATTGGCCTTTTCTAGCCCATCCTTCCAGAGCGGGATGTATCGTCGCTGTGCTCATAAAAATGGGATCACAAGGAGGAAGTTTTCACACTCCCACCACAGAAAAATGTATGGTTTCATCTCCAGACCGCCTCTTACTACGATTCCTTGAAACACTGTTAATCAGTGAACCCACCGGAGTTGTTCATTCTTAGCATTAGAACTCCGGGAAAACGACACGTCAGTATTTCTATCTAGTCAATCTGACCAGACTGAGTAAAGCTCCTGAACGCAGTCAGACATCCAGACATAAAAATCTCCCTAGATGCCTTTGTCAAATTCTTCAGACTACTGACTGAAACTGACTCGAACTCAGGCGCCTTAATCTAAAGATGTTTTTCGAACATATTACCTGAAGTGCTCTGACAAGAGCGTAAAGATCATGCCGCTCAATACCGCTATTCATCCCTTTCACAAGATGTCAAAACCTGCGTAAACTCAGTGAGGAAATATTCTAGGAATGAGAGCATTCCTAACAGGGCCATATTACATATGGACATTCTAACGTAATCAAATACTTCACGATAGAACTGTGGGCAACTGGAACATGAATCAATTGGTTTCAAAGGTCTCTCATGTCTGCCCAGCTAAAAACGTCAAAACTGTTTTAGGCATTTGATGCACACCTAACCAAGCCAACAAAATCAATGGGTCCTGAAGACAGCCCAGTTGATTACTACGATAAAACTGTCCCTTTGATATCTGTTGCAGAACTTCCTGTAAATATGTTTTACGATATATGTATACTAAATTCATCCAGCTCATATGGCATAGTGATGGAGCAACAGGGTGAGTTGACGCGAGTAGTTCGACTAAAGTCAAACAAAGGTCAGAGAAATGAACAACTGGGTAGCTGGTGTGGAAGCTTCGAATATCCCACAAATAGGGACAAATGCATCCGCTGGTGTTCTCACAGGGTGTGTATTCGCATCATCAAACTGAAGATGTTTTTATTACAAAAAATGCATCACTTCACACCGCACAAAACCCGTCAGTCTGCAAAAAGTTAACTGCGCCCCCTCTGTAAGTCACCGTAGTCCAATGTAGGCCGTTAATTCATCTGCTAGCTGTTTCTGGGCCTCACTAGTAATGTGCTGCAGTACTGAACAGTTGCGTTGATCCGCTGAAGCCTGAGGCGTACCAGCTCAACAAGGTAGCCAGTTTGGTTTCCCACACTGAGCTTTGCGCCTGTACAAAGGGCCTCAGATGAGACAAATTCAGTGCATTAGCCCAGTGGAGGTAACTCACCATAGTAGGCCGGACCAGTAGACAATTGATCAGCCATGTCAGTCAGCCTGCAGGGCAAACGTAAGACGGTACTGGTCATTCAACGGCAGGGCGTGACAAACAAGCCCAAACAGGGCCTTGGCAGATCAAAAGTCATCTCTAGGGTGTTTTAGTGACCATCTTACTAACATCAATGCCCATTTAGGCTTGGTGTCACGATGATGCTGTTCTATGGAACACACAAACCGTTGCGGTGAGACTTTCAGCGAACGAGCAAGACTAGGTCCTACACAGAGTCGTGAACTTACAAAGCCTCAATCTAAAGACAGTCTAAAAAAGCTTCGGTGTTTTCTAACGGCCATTGTAGCCACAGCATCATTACATCACTTGAGTCTGACTGTACCCACAAGGTCACAGCTTTAGCTTGCCGCACTAATGACAATCTTCTCTCCATATTCTCAGCAGCAGGCTTTCCATGGCGCCTTCTGGTTTCTATTACGCTGCTAACCAGATTTGCTCTGGCTAACGAACTGCAGAGTACGGAAAGCAGCTAGCGGAGCCGATACACAACGGGGATAAATCAGGTTCTATGAATGCTGAAGTGAGTTAACTGTGTCCTGTGACTACATATTATGTTCCACTGACCAAATTATTGTACATAGAGAGTCAAGGTTCGCCGTCCCAAACAACTTGCACTACAGACGTAAGGAAAGTGAAATTTCCGGCTCGTCCTACTTGTTGACAGCTAGAACCAGACGCCAGTTTGCAATGAACTGCATAGAAATGCGTAAAGTTTTCTTCTAATCCCAGAGCAAGGTGTTTACCTGATCACTATGACCCACGAAGTACGGCAAACCGTCTGCACAGTATGCTTTGGTCGTGGTTTCTGTAAACTATACTCAATCGTTAGCATGGAAAGCTAATCCCAGTAGCCTGTAGTATGGATGATCAATAACCTCGCTACTGAAATTCATGATAATGCCTTACTCAAGACTTTTGATCGGGAGGTTGTACCAGACCTATTGATTCTCAATAATGAAATTCACTTAACCTCCAAGAAAACTACTGATACTCAGAGTCTAATAGGTGGGTATGTTGTGGGTACGCACATCTAGTAACTCCGAGAGATCCAGCCCAATACGGCAGCTGAGAACTTTTTTAGAGCGCTTAAAACATCACTTGTCTTCATCAGTTCAGCTAACCCGAGGTACCTGACAGACAAGTTGATAAGTCTTTAATGAAACACCATAAAGTAGTGTCCCATCATTAGAAAACGGCCTGTTGGAACTTCTCAAAAGCAGAACAAGGTATTAAATGACCCACTTGATATCAGCTAAAATTGCAAATCTACGACCTGAGAAACTGGTACTTGAAGGGACTGCCCACATTTGGAATGAGTATTCCACCCATCAAGTTGTCTATTGTGTTCACCTTTTCAACTATTTCATCCGATATAAAGACTAAGGAAGTGGAAGACAATTCTTTTATCTTCTTTTATCTTCATCTTTGTGCTGACCGACGGGAGAATAAATCTCCTTACTCAGATCAGCTGCAGTGGATCTCCGAACCGTGATTAAAATGCTGCTGTTCTCCGTAATTTTATACAAACAATGTGGTAATTAAGTTTCGTACGTATATCGGTACAACCCGACAAACTAGAAATCCAGAATTCAACGAAGAGTGGCAACCAGCACGTATGTATTCGAATTGGCGAATATGTACAGCATATGGAATATTAAAACAAGAGAATAA